GTGAGAACGACAAACGAATCTCTTCATCATGTACTTTCATTCGAAATGAAGTTCCCCCTAACAATGTTTTCTCAGGAAATTCATCGAAACCAAGTTTCTCTTCGTATCTATAATTAATTGGGTTTCGACTCTATCAGTAATTCTCGAATAAATACTTTGACCTCCTTGGTAGCTTGAGATGATTTAAATAATGATTGTCGAGTTTTTACACAATGAGCAGAGTAGAGCCCCAACGCCATCGGACTTCACCAAGTCTTGCCTACCGAAAGTTTAGCTCATCCAAACTGGACTGCTGCTTCGACCTCAGTAGGAGTCGATACCGGTTCGGGCGTATCATGGCGATGTTGCCACTCCGTTTGACCAGTCTTCCACGGGTACCAGTTGGTCACAGGGCAGATGCGAAATTCAAGGCAGGCAAGACCGCTCCCAACTCATATTGTATCATGGTATTATCGAATGAGCAAATATGCGTGTTTAGTTGTGATCGACGATGTTACTTATTTATTATATAAGTAGTTTCCTAATCTATCAGGTATTTTGGAATTTTTTTCTACTAGTCAGTCCAAGCACCAGCAGCCTTCTGACAAGGTCAACTTAAAAAAATGCATAATATACTCTCACATGAAATTGGAATAACTTAACTATAATAAATCAGGAGTTGTATCAGAAACCGACTTTTGGCAAAGGTTGTGTTTGTAAAGATCAGGGCTTTTAGGTCAACATGATAGACCAGGTGTACTGAAGCGTCATCTATTCGGCAGATTGGGCTGGCCTCTTTTTAAGCTCGCCTCTTTGGCCACCAAAAGTCCTGGTTGTCGGGCCTTGCTTAAGCTGCTGTACATTCCATCTTTTTGGTATTTCCTACAATCTGGCAAAGAAGGAATTGGTTGTGCTGCACCGGCTCGCATAAACCAGCCGTACTTTCTCTGCTCCCCGGTAGGCCGTACCGCCTCCGGCCTGGCCAGGAAGATGCGCATAACAAGTGTTTTGGTGCGCACAGATGAGGACTCAGTGAATATCCGTACCGCCCGACGTGATGAATTGAGAATGACTAAGGGAGGCCGTCGGTGCGACCAGATGCAAGCGCCCCTGTCGGTTGCAAGACGAGAGCAGAAGATACAGCTTGCCTCAAACGCGGTTGCCCGTTTGAGGGTCGCATTTCGGAGATTCGGATGTAAACACATCCATTTGGCGACAAATAGGTCTACGAGAGGTGGGAAAGACGAGTGATCAGTGCAAATATCCCATTTTTCCGCCAAATCCCCGGAGAAATCAGTGCTACGTCGGTTCATTCTACTCTTTCTCTCCTGCTTCTAGGCCTCCTCCGAAAGCCTCCCCACAAAAACTATTCCGTCATCACCCTAGGTCGCATAAGGTAATGAATTGTTATGAGGACATTTTTATTTCATATGAAAGGCCTGACGAAGAGATGTATAGGTCGACTTAAAGATAAGACGATGGTTGATTTCCTGTGTTCTGGGGTCGTTTGGTTTTAACTTGACCTTTCATTTGTCATTCCATTGGACAGAAATTGTTTAAGCTGGAACCCATTCTTGAAAAAGCCTCCAGTTAACACTACATCAAGAAGACCTACAAATCTATTCATCATGCACTTTCATACAAAATCAAAGTCTCTACAACAATGTGATCTCAAGTTTCTCTTCATACAAATGACTTTACCTCAATTTCGACCCTATTAATCGAGAGAATGAAAACCAAGATGGTGCGACCTGTAGTGTGGACTTGTCTTACATTACCAGCGAACTTCACATCCGTGTCAGAGTTGGGAAGAGGCAAAATTTCGAGGGAAAGCGCTGCACTACTTGGGCTCAATTCCTGCTGGGGGTGCTGATAAGGGACGATACAGTGTTGTCGGAATAGCAGTTCAGGCCAATCTGGATGAGAATACCTTTTTGCCGATAGGCCTGGCGTAATGAGATTGACTAATCTGATGATTGAAAAATGCACTATCAGCCCAGAATCCCTTTAAGTGGCATCTAATTAACACGGTTATTGTCTAAGACATACCGGTAGTATCGAGGCCTAGTATATATTAATAGTTTTGCGGAAAAATTGGACATCCCATTATTAGCGGGGATCAAACTGCTTACAAATTCTGTTTGCTCATCTCCCATCAAAATCGTCCACAATTTTGATCCTTTCGCAGATGTCGTTGTCAACATGGTTGTGCTAAACATGCACTCACATTAGAGTGGTAATCGGGTGGAACGGAGGAGAAAGTGAAATCCAACGACAACACAAAACGTCCTCTTTAATGGACAGGTTGACGAAGACGGTCTACAACACTACATCAAGGAGACTTATTAAAACTCAGTGGAAATAGATGTCGGGACGACTAAGCAGAGTTGGGTTGCATGTTTTTCGTAACCTGGCTGTCATTAAAAAGAGTCTTCGTAGCCATATATGAAGAAAAGTTGATTTTCAAAGAATCCCGAAAGCTTAATTTCCAAGGAAAATTTGGTTGGAAGGAATTCGTGAATTGGCATTACCAGAAACTGAAGGAGGATTTTGTTTTAGAGAAGACAGTTGAATTGTGAGAAGTCATCGGCATACAATCCTGCAACACCGATGACTTCGTGAAGAGCTCTCGTATGTCCTGCGATGATGGGCATTAGCAAAGCGAGAAATAATATCTTCCCAAATCCCCAAAAACATAATAAACCAGAAGCAAAGTCGGCCACTTTAATGGGGCAAGTGGGTGAAGTTGATTCATAAAAAGGAAGTGGTTATGCTCGTAGCTGTTTCCCAACCGAACCAAACTAATATAAGATGCATTCACCCTATTTCGTCTAAGGTGATGAAGGACTGGTAGTAGAATTTTCCCACAATGATATGAATCGAGATGACGTTTCCATTGAATTTCACGTAGCCTTGCTTTCCCAAAAGTTGGTCTCATCCAGGGTGGACAGAAGTTCCGACCTCGCATTGGTCCTATGAATACCCTTAGCGGGAATCGAACCGCGACAGTGCAGGATGGG